CCTTCCCCCATGTATTTGAGAGAGATGAGATGGTGAAATTAAAGGGATTCTTTTAAGATGTAACTGGACTACAAAACATGGTCTGCATTTACATTTAAACCTTAGCTGGCTACAGATGCCTTTAGATTGAACACTTGCTTACAAGCAAACCAGAATTGGTTCTAAAAGGTCTTTATACATAGTTATGCAAGCAAAAGAAACATGAGCTGCAACAAAAATATGGGGAGACATACTCATGAGCCATTGTGTCTCAGAGAATGTAAAATCCTACTTCTTGTCATTACAGTGCTGAGACTCATTGACTGTTCTTGCTGATAAATAAATCTATGATGCACTGAGAAATGTTACAACAATCATTTAGTACCAGAATAATGGATAATATCCATCCCTTACAGTAACTGCACCAAAAATAGCACAGCTAGCCCATTTACTGCATCACTCTTCAGCTTCCATAGACATATTTACTACCATTAACGTAAGCTCATCTTTTCTCCCTAATACCACATCTTTATTATTTCCTTGTCCATCGATTGTGTTTAAGACAAATACATAAACACGGTACTAAAATAAAAACCAAAGTGAACCTCTCACACTCAACTGAAAAAACAAGCACAAAATTGAGGGATGTGTGGTTGGAAATAATTTATTGCCTATAAAACGTTAAAAAAATGCTTTAAGTTCACATTTTCTGTGTGGTTTTAAAGGTGGGATCATGTTTCAGAGGTAGTGTGTGTAAAATGTAATACAGGACTTGAAAAGAATTATTGACTTAGTTCAGTAATACAGTAAAATGTTCACCAGAACCAAAGCACTGACCTGAAACCATTTTCCTTACAGAAACATTCTTAAGCATCTCTTTTATCGAAGAGGATCGCTCACTTGTTTAAAAACAAGAACAACCATCACAAGCCCAAGTTTCTGCCCCATTTGTGTCTGTCATCTTCTGACTAAAATGTCAGTTGCTGCCTTTCAGGGATGAATAAATAGTCTTTAGGCAGAATAAAACCCTGTTCTGCCACGGGAAAAAATAAATAATTACTTCTTTGCTTATTGCAGGTTTTTTTGCTCCTAACTTTTAAGATTCCACATTTGGTCAATGTGCTGAAGTATTTATTGGGTAGAGAAATCTAACACAAACCAGCTCCTGGCTTTTCTAACAACCAGCTGGAGTTTTCTCACTAACCATCCTCTAACCTCGATCAGGCATCTCACAGCCAAGCAACCTCCTCAACCTTGTGACAGTCTGGGGCAGAAAAGGCAGAACCTCGAAATGCAAGTGGAAGGTTCCAGTCCTTCAAACACATCAAGCAGCCTCGTCGCTCCCCAGCTGACCTGAAGGACCTGGGCAGCGGGACTGGAGGTAGTAAATGAAGCTTTTGGTTGTAACATTGCAAGTTACAAGTTCTTCATGGTTCAGTTATTCTGTGCTATTCCATTTATGCATATTATTGTCTTTCCTTACGCTATCGGTATCCTGAGACCAACAGTCAGCTACGACTAGAGTACCTAGGGAAAAGTTAGTGCTGTGCATTAGTTTCTTTTTAATGTTACTAATACGGTAGTGCAACAGAGATCCCAAATTGGATAGCTGATCGATTTTAAGCAGTAATTTCCATTTGATTTGTCCTATCAATTCAACTGTACAACCCCAACAGTAGATACAGCTGTTTGCGGTTGGTGAATGGACTCAATAAGCTGCTTCCCAGTCTAAGCAGATGAAGATATAACCGGTATGTTCCTTTTTTCACTCAAGAGGACTGCAGAGCCCATGATCTGCTTGTCATTTTTCAGACTTCTTATTGCCTTAGCGAAAAAGAAATACTTGGAAAGATTAAAGTGCAGTGCTGCTTCAAGAACCAAGCACTCAAGAAAATTGACACTTGTACAGTACATCTGCTCGTGTACTTCTAAATCTGCCAAAAATTCACCTATTAGAATATTTACTATTACTCACTCCCATTAGACCTACAGATTTGACAGAAGCATCACCTGCAGGGAAATGAAAGGAGGCATAGCTTCAGGAAACAGCTTCCTAACTATAAGCAAGCTTGCTAGCATCAAAGACTTTGACTGCTCCCTAAGGCAAGTGAGTGCCCCATCTCTGGTTTACAGTGTCTGTTCTGAGCTACCTTTTCCCACTTTGGGTTCTTCAGAAAGACATATTTCATCATTCATGTTCTGACAGATGTGTTAGGAATAAACAACGCCGGGGAAGTCATCTTTCACAAGCAAATGAAAGCTTTTGTGGAAAGATGATAAAAGCATCAATATGTGGCACTTGTGCTGTAGCGGTTACTGAATTAGAGGCAACCCCCTGAAATAGCAATGGGGGCTTATTTCTGTCATCATAACACAATATGAGCTTTCTCTCTCATGGAAAGTCTATGCAAAGGATGGACTAGCACTTAATGTGGTTTTTCATTACCATCCTATGAACAGAGGAAACAACCATAAGCCAAACCCTGACATGCCACGGGCCCACAGAGCCACCCCATTGCTTTCTATCATCTGAAGAACTTCCAGAATTACATCTGGAAACGAATGCCCCAGTGACTGTGTATCACAACACCGTCCCTCTCAGCAAGGAGCTTGTCAGTACAATTACTAAGAGCTGGAAAGGAATATGCCCAATTCTCTCATACTGTTCTAAGGTTACACGGATCAGGATGCAACCTGCAAACTTGATTAGCACATTATGTTGCCTGTTAGGGACACAAGGAAACAAAAATAACCTCTAAATTACAAAGCATGTGGGAAGCGCTAGTCTGAAGTGCGATACATGGATATGTATTTTGATAACTCTCAGGGAAGGTTAAGTGCTATGTTTCAGGACCTCATCAGCTGCTCTTCAGCCACTGTACTGCAGAACAATTGTTGCTGCAATGATTTAAAACACCAGTAATGGTAACATATCATTAAAATGTTTGTTTTATATATGGCAGGAAATATACATGGATACTGAAAACACCTGCAGAACAGCTCTGCAGTGTTATCCTACCTAGCATTTTGTTATGCAGGAATATAATTCATACTCTTTCTTTCTGAATATCCTGTAATATTATTGAGTGTTCCAGCCTATGAAAGCACGACGACTCCACTATGTTCTGTCTTGTCACCCTAGCAGAGAAAAGGACCAGAGAACAACATGCCCCCAGGGCTGATGTGGGTGTTGAGTGCAGCTGGAGGTTCCGCTGCATGTCCTTAAAGAGGATTCCTTGAGAAAAGGGACTTACATAAGTGCTTGAATCTAGCAGCAGTTCATTCAAGATTAATTCCTTCAATCTGTTTGGCATATGAAATAGAAGCAAGAAATAGCAAAATATGAATCATCAATTCAAGTTTTTCTTGTATAAAGGTGGATGACTTAATTGACTATGAAATCAAGAACTCATTAAGAGTATCCTGCCTTTTGTCATGGGACTTTAAGTGGAAGAAGCAGGGAAAAAGGGTCCAAATAGTGGCAAGTCACAGTACTTTTTTGTTTTTTACTTTAGCAAAGCTCACAGAAAACAAGAGGTTTCGTTGTCTGTGGCACAAATTTCCTGTCTAGAGAGATCAGTAATAGAAAGCATTGTTAACCCAGTACAGAAAACCCTTTATAAATTATTTTTTCAGAGTGAGCAGAATTCCAGTTGAGCTCCATGTTACATTTGAAGGATAGCACTGTGATCTTTGTTTACAAACCTGAATTCATTTTAGGTTGGTGGTCATTTCAACAGGCATGTAAAAGGCTGTTCCTCCTCTGAGTAAGGCTTTAAGGACATGTCTACCAGCCAGGATGTGACATTTCAGCTCAGGCGGTGAAAGGATGAGTAACCTACCACTTAGCTCCTGGTTGCACAGACTGCCTTCTCTCTCTCTCCTGGGATTCTACTCTGAGTTTAATGTCTAAACCCAAATACAGGCTCAACAGCTTGCTTTTGTAGGGTTACTTTGTAGAATAGGTGCTAAGAGGTCTTTTGGGAACTAACTGAATTGTATAGTAAGATACATAGTAACTACAGACCTGTTTGGTTTCTTAAAACAGCTTTTAAAATTGCTACTACCCTTTCTGCAGCTGGCATTTAACAATATTGCTAAAAGCTCCCCATCCCATGCCCGAGAATAACAGAGAGACAGAAAAACCCCTTAAAGAACAGAGCTCAGTACTGACACTACAAAAGAAAAGCTGTAGAAGTGATCAGGGAGGAACAAACAGACTAAGAAAAGCTTAAAATCCTTCCCACTGAAATTAAGGGGACTGCTTATTGTATTGCATGAATAAGGAATCTCAAGAGTAAATTATTATTTGGCATAAAACTGAAAGATCAGGTTTTTTCCCAGACTGAAAATATCTGTTTCTAAAATGCTTGCTGAAGAATATTCAGACTAGAAGTTACAGAGCATCAATAATATGGGCATGCACCTACACGCCCTACTAAATTTATCTGAATGCGTCTGCACATCCATTTAATCAGATGAGTGAAAGGATTCAATGTCAACAACAGCTGGGAAAGAAGAAATCCATTTCAGCACTGGCTCAAACTCACAGTTAGAATGGCACCTGCCAGTTGCCAAAAGCATTCTCAGACCAGGCTACTTCAAAACCAGGTCACATTTAGCAGATCTGCAAAACTCAATTCAGGGTGCAATGTCAGCTGTGGATTTATGACAGTGTCTTGATAAAATGGATCAAAGTTTGGGGAAAAATATATAACCAATACCTAAAACAATGAACAGAACTTTAGCATTCAGACTTCGACAAACAAAAACTGTAACTACATTCATAAAACCCTAAACAGTAGTGTAAACATCTAACCCCATTGCTACTGTGAGAGGATAAGAAAGTTGCATTCTGCAGCTATCGGGTTTCCCTTATCCATCTAATTTGTTGCAACACTTATGACTGCTTCTTTAATAATTTATTGACAGTAATTCAAATTTCTCAGTTAGCCTTTCCAAGTTTTTTCAGCTATTTGGGTCAGAAAATGGAAGGTTCAACTATCTGAAGTCACATAATGAAACCACTTCAATTTAATTTCAGATTTTCAAAAGGGTTCAAGCACAAGTCATAAAAAGCCCATTATTCGATTTGGATCCCCAATTTTTAGTCCACCTACCTGAGTAAAAATGGGGAAAAAAAATAAGGAACAGGACTGGTGAGCAAACAACTCCAGAGAATTAGCTGTCTGTAACACAGGACATTTGTTTTCCACTCTTGGATCCCTGCTCAAAAAGACATTGCTACAGAGCAAGAGTTATTCTGGAAAGTCAGAAGTTACCCTAATCAAGGCCAAACTGCTAAAAGTGAAACCTTTCCTCACACAGTTTTTATTTACCAAAACCAACATTCAAAATTGCTTGACAGTGCAAACTGTAGCCATGATGTACTACAGTCATCCTTCAGGAAAGTCTACTTCACCTTGGGCTTTCTCTTTTGGACTGAAGAACACTGGATAGCAAAATGCTGTTCTCTTGAAACCTGCACGTTCCGTGGGGTTTCTTTTTTGTCAGTTAAAAAAGCAACATAAATCACAAACTGTCTGAGGCATTTTTCTCCGATAAAGACGACAAGCTGAATGAGGTATCATCAGGCTCTGGGGATGCATGATTGAAATCCATTTCTTCTAATTCAGGAGGTAAGTCTGAGAGCAGTGCCTGTAAGCAAAATAATATTACAATACAGTATTAGGTAGAGGTTTTATGTCAGCATTCAAATGTCTTAAGTGTATTGTGAGAAAACTTTGTGGACCTTTTCAGTCAGTGTTGGTACTGGATGGGTAAAAAACCCAAAGAGGTCAGTGTTGATAAATATTGGAGTTTGGAAAAACATTATCCAAGATGATGCGTCTTAAAGGCAAACAAAGAAAATAAAAGCACCAAAGTCTCTCCTAAACAAAGCACAGATTGTTATCCTTACAAGACAGGATCCAACCAAGCATTAGAAGTGCTGTGTATTAGATGCGGTGCAGTGCAACCGAAGAAGCCTGGCTTTTTTCCCCTGGATCTCACATCTCAGACCTCACAACAGACAAATCCCAGTCCCTCAGTGTACACTGGTTGTCCCTTTGTAAAAGTCACATGTCCCTGTCTTTTGTCATTGCTTGTGTAGATTGCAACATCTTTTATTTTAAAGTTCAGCTTTTCTTTGTCTCTAAGATGTTCAGCACAATGCTGCCCTCATCAGAATTTGAGCCTCTGGGCACTACAGAATAAAACTAAGGGAGTGACAGAACACAAAATGACAAACACCTTCGAGTATTAAAACCTACTTCAAGACTTACCTGCTGCTGTTCTTTATCATCGGATTTAATAGCAAGTATCAAACTCCGAGTAAACGTCTGTAGTTCAAAATACTTCTGCTTGTGATTCTCCAACTGATTCTCAATAAATCTGACTTCTTCATTCTGTGGGGGACAATTACATGAAATAACAATGGAAATAATGGACTGCATCTCTGTAGTGACACACAAACTTGTGTTAAAACTGAATGGGTTTTAGTGAAAATGAGTGAAGTGTGTTTATTATGATTCCTGCCAAAACCAATATTAATTACAGCCAAAACTTCCACAGGTATAGAATTACAGATCAATGCACGTTCTGATGAGGACCAGCAGTGTCTCACTAAACCTGCAAATGCATATGCTGTTTCATCTCTCCTTATCCTCCCCAAGAGATGTGATAATCAGCTGTGTTACATGCAGACAAAGCATTTCAGAATTATCATTAAAGCATCAAGGACTTGGGCCAAAGTTTCCATGAAGCTGTTAAAGCAGCACTGTTTTTTATTTCATAAGGATGACCTCTAATTCAATTTTAAAATAGAGAAAAACAAAGCCCAGGTCTCTTCCTAGAAGTGATCTTGAAAGGGCAGGGTGACTGTAAGAAGACACGTCAACCAAGTTCCATTTTTACAGCAGGAGGCTTGGCACAAAGACCACAGGAAACACCCTGAAAATTCCTCAAAGCTATCACAACCTAAAATATAGTATCCTCTAGTGCAGAGGAGTTTGACATGTATCAGCTCTCACCAACCTCCCCAAGATCTTTTGAGTTGCAGAATAAACAGGAACGTATTTGTGGAATTGAGAATTATCAATAATGTGCATGCTGTAGCTAAAAAGGTACTTTCCCAACCTCTGCATAAATGCGTGTTACTCTACCTGCAAATGACTTAATATAAAAATAACAAACTGAATTAAAAACCTCAGATTTGATAAACACTTTATTCCAAATACTTCTTCTCCTTCAAACCTACAGCTGATTGTTATGCAAGATCAAAACACCACATCTGTTGATCAGCGCAGAGTTCAAATTAATTCTCTCTGGTTATTTACCTTTGCAAAGATCACGTAACCTGAATAAACAGTTCAGTTCTCAAGATCAAAGTCATTGTGCACTTTTGCAAAAGGTTTCTGCATAGTAGCACCAAATGTGCATCCTCCATAAGATCATGTGAAGTGTTGCGTTTACCGAGGGCTATCAGAGGCAAGAAAGAATCCACCCTTGCTTATGCAACCACATGATTAATTAGGTTGGTGTCTGCATACAGTATGGTTGGGTTTGGTGGCAGCAAATAATTACAAAAGCAAATTTCAATAGTGGATTTGTAAGCTGGCATTTTGTTTTAATGAAAAAATAGTATTTCTTTTTCTAAACATAGAACTATGCCCTGTTATTCTTGATAACCTTTGCTAGACTGGCTGTAATTCAACTGTAGTTGGTATGAAAAGGTGAGACTGTGTGATGAACTAGAAGGTTTGCAACAAGCCTTTAAAAATTGTTGTTTCGTGGGTTTTTTGCCCTAGAAAAAATCACATTTCTTCAGTCAACACACTGCTTACCATGCTGTTTCAGGTTATAATGGCTCTGAGAACAAGAGAGAAATATTTAGGCTGCAATTATGAGGCCTTCATAAGAAAATCAGCTGAATGAATTTCTTTCCGATGAAAACTTCCAAGTTGCCTATTTAGAATGGATTTTGCCCAGCCAAAGAAGGAATTCAGATTTACACAGAAAGCAAAGGCACAAAGACCAATCACTAATGTCAAACAACAAACCGACAAACAAGGTTCTGTAGGGCATGCTGTCACAACGAGCCTTTCACAGTGGTGACAGGTGACATTAAGAAAAGGTCATTCCCTCTCCATATTCATTCTCCACTGCCCTTACCAGGAAAACACTGCTTGAAGGAAGAACTTTTGTTCTGAAAAGATGATCTATTTATTATTTTGGAAGTGATTATCACTAGTAGAACATACCTGGTTTTGAGGTTAAAAAAACAGCTACATAGGTAAAACCACCACCAATACACAACACAGAACTGGAGTAACTCTTACGAGAGCAGGAACACACTCATAACCTTTCCCATTTGGCAGAGGACAGCAGCTTGCCAGGTATCCAACTGCTTTTTCTCCCTCCCACAACTCCTGCTTCCAGACATGTTCTGCACTGCATTGTGAGAATGACTTCAGCTTAGATCCTCCCGTTTCATTAGAGGATTACAGCTGCTATGTCCCTTTCCAGAGCTCACAGTATCACGCCGCATGTAGAAACGTGCCACAGCACTCCAAGGAACAATTCTTGCACAAAAAGAAAAGTTTTGGTTTAGAAGCTAAATAAACTACTTCCTTTGGGACATATGGTGGGAGCTGCAGATGGCTACAGCTGAACTAACGTAACTGCTCTGCAGAGATTTCATTCTTCCTGTCTCCCTCTGGGTTGAAATACGGGAAATCTGGCTGTAAATGGGATGAGCAGATGTGACTGAGGGTATGATGTGCAGTGCCACGGTAAAAACAGAGTTGCTGCATGCCTTTCCCAAATTCCTTACAGATACAGCCATCTAGAATTTTCTGTAGACTCTCCAGCTTAACATTATACAGCCTAATTACTCACCTTGTAATCCAAAAGAGAACTCATTTGATCCACTTCAGAATTACTTATCATATCACTTTCTTCATCATCTATAATTTCTATTTTCTGAAACAGAAGTAAAGGGTTCATTCCAAGTATTCAAATGCACAGATTAGACAAACAAACAGCAATCTGTATCACAAACAGCATGAAAGGATGAAGGTAACAGGACCTTTTGTTTGCGTCTGAGAAACTCTAAACTGTGCAGCCCCCATTAGATGGCAATCATGCACCTCAGCCACAAGATCCAGGGAGAATCCAAACTGAAACTGCTGGTACCCAGAGCGGCTGCCCTGGTGACTCAGGCTGTTTACAAAGGAGGAGCTGTATGTCACCATGCTTTTGGTATTAAGTTGCATATAATATCTCATTACAGCCTGCACAAGCCTGCATTTTATTCTGTAAGCCTTTTACTGAAGACCTCCTGCAAGGCGAAGAAGGTTATGAAAGTTTATTCTTCTGGAGCAAAACAGACATTATGGCAAGCGACAGGCAAGTCCTAACTGACCTACTTCTTGCCTGAAAAACAAAGAGGTCTCCTTTGACCTTCTTTGGCCACAATGCAAGTCAAATGCCCTAAATAGTGGAGGATTTTGATACAAAGGACAGTTCCAAATGCACACACATGGACATTTTCACTTAACTCACAAAAATTCTTGGGAGGTTTTTATACTGGGTTTCTAAAGATACCTGAAGTATAATGTTAAAGACTAAGCTTAATGCTGTTTACAACTTAGAAATACATTCCAGTCATATCTCATTCACTTTTACGCTATTTACCACTCGCATGTTCTGTCCCAACAGAAAACCTTCTTATGTAAGAAAATGATGTTAACAGGTTATGTCAATAGGACAAAAAACAAAACGTGCACATTTTCAGTGCAGCAATGAGATTCTTATTTGTATCTAAGCTAGATCTCAGAGAGAATGAATTTGAATTAGAGAATGGCAAGAATGGCACCTTTTGACAGAACACAGAAGGATGACTGCCTGGATGGAACTGTAAGTTCAACTATATTTTGGAGACGAAAGCAGTAGTAGTGTAATAAGAGTTTGGATTTTTTAACTGTTTTTCATTGTTCTGGCTGTTGTAACCATTTAGGAGACTGCATATAATAAGCCAAAGCAATTTTACTGTGTTTTTAGTATACAAAAAAATGTAGGCAAGGGGCCACATTGACACAACACACTTCAGTGGTTAGTTCTTGAGGTGTTATTTTAGAGGAGGTTTCTTCCCTGCATCAGGTGTGTGTGTTTTATCTGCCTGCAGACCAGGCATGAGAACTTTCCTCTAATCATCAAGGAGAGATCCTCCAAGAGAGGTTAGCAGTCTCTTACTAGTAGTACCCACCAAGCTCACAAGCTTGTGTTGAAGACAGGGAGGGTAAACCACATTTGCTGTGCTTCAGTGTCTGACAACCCAGCTGAAGCGATAACATTTCAAAGGCTTCATGTCACAAAGATCTGCTGCTGTATCATACCCTGAGTAACACTGTGACTCAAATATTTTTGTTTTTAGACTCAGCTTGAGGAACGAGTGTCTAAATAAATGCCAAACATTCACACTATCTTTCTTATAATTATACATTGTAAGATAGTAGGGGAAAGAACAGATTAGAATTTCAAATAAGAAAACTGTCTCTCGTATGCGAGTCCAATGTACATTAGTCCAATTTTAGCTACATGTATTTTAAACATTTTGTTACAGTGTTTTCAGAACAGAGTATGAAAAAGCTTCTCCTATTTCTGCCCCCTTCTTTTTGTTTCCAGTGATATAATGCTGGAGTTCAGACAGACAGGCGAGCTCAGTCTCTCGGACATCATCTTTGCAAACCTTTTACTTTTGTCATTTTACATTCTGCATCTCCATGGTGAATGCATCAGCCTGAAACTCACAGTGATTATACCTAAGGTCACAGCAGGCCATTAAGGTAAACAGAAAGGAAAAAGGCAGCTCTTTCTATTCAGGCAACCACAGAACATACAGCCATGGCATTTCAGTTTACACAAAAGATGATCATATATTAACAAAGGAAAGGAAATTTTCTCTCCTCTCCCTATGTACAGAGGGAAGGGAATCTCCTGTTCACTTTCTCATTTCAGGTTCTGTATGATTAACGTAAAACAAATTTTCTTGTCATGTTCTGAGCTACCACCATCTCTGACTGCAAGAAGAGCACAACTGGGAACTGGAACCATCACCTGTTCATTCTGCAGATAACTTTAAGAGAAAAATCACCCTACCACTCAGGGTCTTCTCTCCTCTTCCTCCTCTCCTTTCTTCTAATTTGAGAGAAGGCAGGCTAAACAAAGGGGATATATTGCATTATTTGCCATGACTCCTCCCTCTGTCTTTCCTTCCTTGTCTCACTGCAGTCAATTAAAAACAGCAAGAACAACTGTATGTGACTCAATGTGAATGCAAGTGAGAAAACAAGAAACATCTAAATAACGCCCTGTCAAGGGTATGGGAATGAAGAGTACATACCCACCCCAGTCTGATATCATGTATTCGAGGTTAGCTATGGAGAGAAGCACTAGAGGTACCCAACTTTCTTAAAGCTACCAAAAAACCATTGACCATTATTATTCTAGGGTTTTATTCTGTTTTACTGCACTAGGTACTTAAGAAGCACTACCCAAGCATTGTGCTTTGCATTCCAGAAAAAGAACACCGGGTTGTTATAATACAGAAAAAGCCATGTAATTCCATTTATACTGAACATGCACAGCTCTGTGTTTTAGTACCTTTAGTACAGTTTCTTTTAGTGCTCAACCAGTTAGAAAGACTCTTAGTACGCTGAACTGAAATTTTCACCTAGTGAAAAACACTAGTGTTGGACAACCACCTCAATGTTGGCAATTAAGGAGGTTGCATTAATGGAAAAGGAAAGGTGTACATACCACATTATCAGTAGATACAGGATTCTGGTCATCATCTTTGTGACCGATTTCTTCATTCTGAAGTGCTTCATTTGTCTCTTCTGTAGAAATAAATTAGTTTTTTTCAGATTTCATTCAGATTTCATGTTGAAGGAACAATAATAGTCTTTAGCACTAAATAAACGTCACATCTGCTACATGCAGAAGCATCTATCTATTCCTAAAAAATACTGTATGCCTTACTAAGAAAGACAAAGTATCACAAGTATTTCAGGGCAATGTAAGGCCAATTGCTACCGGTAGCAATGGGAAAACTATCAGCTACTTTCTTGCAACATACCAAACCCTTCCTGTTTTTAGGTTCAGGTTGGAAAATTAAAGTGATGAACAGTTTCACATCTGAGGTGCACAGAACTTTGGATTTTTTCTTAATTACTACATGAAAAATCCTGCATGCCCTGAAATTATAGGGTACATTTCAGAATCCCATCTCCTCCTTGCAGACACTTATTAGCTTTGAACCAAAAACTGATCAAGCAGATTATTTCATTCTCATATGGCAAATACTTATTCCTGGTGAACCTACTCTGCTATTTTATGTATAAGCAAAGTACACACTTGAAAACAGAGCAAATCTTACCCTTAAATTTCAACTGCAAGCACTAGATGATTCTATCAGCCCTAACTATGGCCAAAGTGAACAAAGATAAGCCTATTCATCCCTGTGATTATGTTTCTCAGACTAATGCTCCACATTAATATAATGTTAAGAAGAAAACACTTGATAGAAACAGCAAATCAGGTAAGACAGCTGGGATACAATCTTAAATTACGTCATTAAGCTTGCATTAGAAGGATCAAACAGTCCAGCTATCACATGTAGAGAGGAAAAGAGGCATAGTGAGTGAAGGGGCAGCAAGTGTCCAGATGGGTTAGTGAAAGAGGGCAGGTTATGATGCAGGGGTGTATCACTTCTACACAAACACAGGGGTAACAGAATTTAACGGGACATTACCAACACTTGCAAAGACAGGTGAGTACTTAGGCCAGACCATTAACACCGTTAATTGTTGTAAGTAACTTTTCTACCAGTTAAATATCTCAAACTTGAGCAAATCTTATTTGAAGTTGTTTCAAATCAAGTGAATCTGCCATTGGACACAGCTTCGGAGGAAGATTTCTGCCAGCAGCAAAAGCAAATGGGTTCAATTGGAGAGCTGTAAAGCAGGGAGCAATACACAGTGCTATCATTCCACTTGGAAGAGTGAAGGTCACTGAAGATGCCCTTCGGGGTCTCTGACACATTCTAAACCAGTCACTCAGTAACCCTGACAGCCACCACTTGGACCCAACAGTTGAATGAAGCAACTCCCTACAGCACTTTCAACTCTAAATATTCATCCTCAACTAATATAAACTGGCACAGCTATAATGGCCTTCACAGAGCCTTGTTCACTTACACAAAGTATGGATTCAATTAACATACATTTAAAAGGTAAGGCATTATGAGAACTTTAATGCTTCATTTTGCATCAGATTACTGCTGCTTTTTTTATATTTACACACTACATTCTAAAAGCAAGTGCCAGCAACACTTTCACTCTAATTACACGACTAAAAGTATCTTTTTCCTGTCTTTTAGAGTGGTTTTTTGTTGTGATTTGGAGGGTTTTTTAAATAAATTGGGACGAAAAGTTATAGTTCTCAACCATGAAAACAATCACAAACCTGTGACTGAACAATACACGATTCCCTTAGAACTATTTTCCAGGAAGTCTGAAATAAGCTGAGCTGCAGCAGTGAAACCTACACCTTTGAATGAATAGAAATAGTTTATGCGGTAGAATAAAGGAATGAAAGTGGGATTCCTGGATACTGTGGAAATCCTATAGTTTCCTTGCACTTCCTTAAGCTTTGACTCTAATAATCTACTCACAGCCTTACAGCCTTATCTTGTTTTATGAAAGCCTTGTTTGATGAACGGGGTGTTATTCCTCACGTCAAGCTACAGAGAATTCAGACTCTTCCCCTGTCACCATTTTCTTTCAAGTAGATCAGACTAAATCAGTTCCTTCCACACCTCAGGCAAATCAAGGACTCTTAGATTCTGCATCTCACTTGGCTTTCAATCACTTGACCCATTTCTTAATCATCTTATTCTCTTTAGAGCAGAATATGACAAAGCTATCACAAATTCACTCCCAGCAGTTCTCCCATTTTTCTAGTTCTTTTCCTTAAATTGTTCTAACAAAATGACAAGATCAAGTCTGGCATATTAAGCTGCAATAGCATGCACTAGATCAGACTTGCTTTTAGTTTAGAGAGCAAAGGCTTTATTGATCTCTTCTAATCAGAAGCACTGGGAGCAATTAGTTGAGCTTGTGAAGCTAGTGCATGTGCCGAGCAGCAGCTCTTCTGCCCTGGGAGACCCAGAGTGCTCATGTACAAAAGGGAAAGGGAGAGATCCATTTAATGTGGTGATGTGGTTCTGGAAGATGGAGTAAAAGGGAATTAAGTTTGAAACACTTATCACTCAAGATCATGCAATTTACTGAGAACACATAGAGCCCCTGTACGTGCTGTTCTAAGGCTTTCTGAGTAGTCCCCTGCTACTGACTTTGATCTTTTCTGTTGGTTTGTATTTGCTTGGCAGAGACCATACATGCATGGCAGACAGCTTAATGGCACAAGTTCTGCTCTGCTTTGACATACTGTGAAGCTTTTGGTTCAAGACCAACTCTGAGCTCATGTATCTTCTGAATGTCTCTCACTGGTGTGAGTTTAATATCAGGAAAACTAAGTACATAGCTCTGGTCAGCCCAAAGCAAGCAGGTTTGCAGGCGTTAGTGCTTGTTTAGATGAGAATGGCTGGTGCGATTCAGGCTCACAGGAATGGATAGTCAAGCTGGCTGTGCAGAACCAGCCTGCTAACAGACAGTATTCTTTAAAACCTGGCTTCCTAGAGAAGTTAGATGTACACATTTGCACTCTCTGTCCATCTCTCAGCTGCAGCAGTGAATTGTGAACTTGTCATTTAACTTCAAATTAATTTGGCAGAAACAGAGGTCTTATAAAAGGTTTCTGCAAGCTTTGTGATAGCAAACCCAACAGAATTCATATAGAGGTAAAGAGACCAAACAGTACTTTCAATATAGCCAAGGTAGGTCACTTGTGACTGTTAGACACTCAAGACATTTTTGAATGTGTACAACAGAGAATCCAAAGCATGCACACTGCACAACATTAAAAATATAGCACAGTAGTAACTGCGTTTTCAAATACCTTGTGAGCTTCCTTCAGATAAGCAGATTGATACTTCATCATTCCTATCATTATCATCCCCCACTTCAGTAGCAGTTTCCTCTCCTGGATTAAGTGCTGATTTAGAAACAAATTCAGATTGATCAGAGAAATCAGCAGGACCTCCTCTAGGGGGTGGGACCTCAATCCCCATTAAACGATATTTCCGTCTTCGATTCCCAATCCAAGTCTTGTAAGAGAAATAAACATGAATGATATCAGAAACTATAACAAAAGCAACAGGCCTACATCCAAGTGAAATTAGCACATCTAAACTACAACATTGTAGCCAGCAATTCAAGGGAGGTGATTATTCCCCTGTATTTGACCCTCATGAGCCTACTTCTTGGAATACTGAGTCCGGGTACCTCTGATACAAGGGAGAAGGGAAGGTGCACAGCAAAAGGAAAAGAAACAACAGTTGCAAGTCACACCAAGGGAAGCTCTGACTGGAATCAAGGAAAAATAAAACATAAGGCTTTACAGTGAGATGCTGGAACAGTTTGTCCATAGGAGTCTTGGCACCTCCAGCCTTGGAGGTACTCAACGTTTTACTGGACAACATGCTGAGAAACCTGACCAAACTCTGAAGTCAATCCTGCTCTAAATAAAGAGTAGCATTAGTGACCTTGTAAGCTCTCTCCCCAGCTAAGTTATACAATAATTTTAACCTAAGGTTCTCCCACTCTGCAACTTCCATAAGGGGACCAAAGCATCCAATGACCCAAATGGTCCACCTGTTCTGGGATTTCCTACAGCACATAAGAAATCATCCAAGGTGATAGCTCTACATTACTCCACTTTGCTGACAGAACATAACTTGGCAGAATTAAGTTCACAGCAGTATTATTCTTCAGTCCTCTCTGGCTGGAAGACAAGTCTTTAAGACACACTGCTTGCAGTAAGGTATATAACAGCATCCTTATAAACAATGGTGGGAGATGAAACAGGTCCAGGACCAAAGAACCTGGAAACTGATTCATGATGGGGTGGGTTTGGATGCTTTAAGTAAAACTGAGTTTCAAAAAAAAAGAAAAACAAACAAAAAACAAACCACCAAACCAAAAGTCACATTCAAAATTCTCCACGTGGATCTTTTAATGTGATTTCTCTGATAAAGGTAAGTCTAAAATAGAGTCTTTAATAATTTTTGAGTTTAACATGATGTAAGAACTGTCTGCAACTCCCCACCTTTTAACTCCTTCCCTTCCCTTGCATTACTCAGGCTTTTGACTTCTCATTTAATTACTATTCTGCTTAACAGCACTTGTATCCCAGACACTTTGTACCAAGTCACTTCTCCACTGGCATCCAAAAATCCTTCCCAAAGCCAGGAATCAATTTCTTTGCCAACTGCTAAATTCCAGTCATTCTGACCTGGCTTTCCTCCCACTTCCACATCATCTAAACTACAATGACTACGGACAACACTAACAGCAGTAGTGGGACCATCCTCATTGTCCCAGGACCTGTCCACACACTGGCCCGGGATGGACAATGGTGGAGTTTGGCCACGTCAGCTGTCACCACACAGAGCGCGCTTGGTTACTGTGGTGACGATGGATGCACAGTGTGGTCATTCCTAGGTTCTGAATCATGCTTAGTGCTGGAATTTCTGGATTGTTAAAAATCAAATGTACCTCCAGAAAGCATGGACAGTTCCTGGTTTTGAAAACATACGATCAAGGCATAGCAAAATGCACATCCTTCCCCTAAACTCTGTGTTCCAACAGAGTTTACCAAACACATCAAAATATTGAAGGATGTTTTTTCTTTAAAGATACACTAATCATTACTCTGGCCTCATTTCAGAAATACCTGTATTGCTCCTCTTCTCCATCACACTTTCTTTAACTAGAGTTCTGATACGTAGCATGACAAAGCTTAGTAAACAATTTTTGCTTATAATAGCTTGATTATCAAACAGAAAAATTAAAAAATACCAACAGCATCCCATCTACTAAAGAGAGTTTCATGCTGGGACAGCCTTGAAAAAATTTGTTTTTTAAAGCTGAATCTCTTTCACTACCTAGAAGAGGACACGTTTAACGCTATTTCTGGCAAATCGTTTTTATTGGGTGATACTTGCTTTCCCAGCTTCCTCATTTTCCTCTTTGAAGAATGCAGAACAGGCACACAGAGAGCTACCTAGATATTTTTGTACGTTTTAGTTTGGGGAAAAAGAAGAATTAAAACCCTCACACAAGTGGCCTCTTCCACTTGTGTCTCTTTCTCCCAAACAGTGCATTGCCATTCTTTAAATTTTCTCATAGCCTTATGATGGCAATAAATAGTGCAAACAACTGTAAAAATTAAAAGTGAATCTGCTTCTTTTTTACTAAAAGATTCAGCAAAAGATCAAGGCACTTGGGAAAGGTAGATCTTGTCTTTATATGTACCTTTCAAAGCAGAAAAACTCTCATTCAACATACTGAATATGTCATAGAAGACAAATACGTTTTTATAGTAGCTGAAATTAAAATGGGAAAGAAAAGCAAGAAGGTTCCATATCCTGTATGCTACATTCAACAGTGAATATTGTGGAGCAGTACAATGACGAGTGTAAAAGCAGACTAGTATTTCTATGTAGGAAACAAACTTAATAGTTCTAACTGTATCTGTAAAATATCACCTCCTTAAAAACATCAAACATCACCTGTAAATTACACGTGATCAGACTCATTAAGCCTACTTAGGGTAGCCAGCAATGAACTCAGCAGCAACTTCCCCAGCTTCAACTGAACAGATGACCAGCAAGAGTGGGGGAAGAACAGCTGGAGTCCAGCAGAAGGAGCCAGCATACAGCTGCCTCCAGGCAGCTCCTAAGGAAGTGGACTGGCAGGGAGCCACTTAAAAGGCAGAATACAGCTCTCCAGATATTGAGGTTAGGGTGTCAACGTGATAGAAAGATACTAGGAACCTTCAGAAATTCCACTTAATTGAAAAAACAAAGATGGAAGATTCTGAGCTGGTTTTCCAATGCCTCTCTTGACATAAGGTGGATCCAGACTAGGCCTAGAGCCCCCAACAGGAAGAGCCATTGGTCAGCTGTTAAGAATGAGTGGCTTTTCTGCTGCAACTACTTGCTTTTGCTGCTAAACCCTGATTGAAGCACTACCTTCCACAATCAGCTTCTATCTGATGAGCTGCTGGTGAAGAGGAGGAAGTGTCTTTTGCCTGTGGTGGGTGCTTAGGTGCAGCCTTTGACCTCTTATGTATGAAAGCTTGATGTTCTATGTGTTTCTGAGGAGTTTGACAGCTGTCATCTGTCCTTCTCAGATATCTAATGTGTTGCTGCCAAGAAGGCTATTCTGCTTTCAGATGCTATTCTGGCATGAATGAATAAAATTAGTCAAGAGAAATATAAACAGAAGTGAGTAAGTAACTACAAAAAAACTCACAAAAACCCCACAACCCCAAAAAATGGAATCAGCAATAATTATAATATAACCAAAAGAAATACTTTAAGCTTAATGAGATATTGGACAGAGTTCACATATTTAAATATGGCATAACATTGGTTTATTTCCCTCTTTTGGCATCTTGGGAACATATGAAAGATATTTGAGGGTGCAAAGATGCACGATGTTATGGTGAACCAGCAGACACTTTGAAAGTTCACTCTCTTACTAGAAGTACAAACCATACGGAATAAAATGCCCTGTTGAACCTTGAAAGATCAAATCCAGTGCAACTATACATAGTGGCAAACATTATCTTTCCTTGTACAGGAAAACAGATTCGATACTTTCTTTGTACTGGAGATCTTTCAAATCAGTACGGGTCATAATGATCATCAGTTGCACTTCTGGAAAAGTAACAGTTCCCTGAAAAATTCATGAATTTCCATTCTAAAATACATTAAGATATTTAGAATTTCCATTCTAAAAGGTATTAAAAGGGAAAAATGGGAACACGTATCTAACTGAATGAAAACAACTGATATATGTTTCTATTTATATAAGATTTATATATTACAGATTTTTTGCATGTATTATTTGTTGTATATGTATTTAATTGGTTTTATATATATACTTTGCACTGCTTTACATATGCTACATTGATTGTTTTTACATCACAAATGGAGAAACAGTTGCTAGTTGCACACTACCTAGAATTCAAGGCACAGTGAAATACAAAGGCAACAAAGTACAAGTATTGAAAACAGACACACTGTTTTCAGCTTAGATCTGACACACTGTTGTGTCTGGATTCCTTAGGAAAAAAGAGACCATGCTGCATACTAACCTTCAGTGTTTCCTACTGAAGACAATGCAGGTTGGCAGGTAAGGAGAGAGGAACAATACAATGTGCCTACACAGATATCAGAACAAAATTAGGGCAGAACCTCTAGAGCATATGATGAAAATACCTGTCCTACACTTGGGAACGTGCATAATGTGCCTTAGAGAAAGGACAAGAGGAAGCACTGAAGGTCACGTGTCCTGTAGCAGTAATTCAGCTCTTACAAACAAAGAAAACAGTGCAGGATGATGCAGGACCAGTCTCCACCTTATTCATGCTACAATTCTCAAGTCTGCCGTGCAAAGGAGCCTGAGGCAGGACAGATACTGGTAACACCACCAGTTACTATGAAGAAATCTTTTTGTTCGTTCATGTATGTTCTAGTACAGTTTAAGCCAGAGAGCCTCAGGGAGCTGACCAGAGCCTCTGTCCTGAAGACATTTCAAGCAGATGCATTGAAAAGTGGGCACAGAACTTCATACTTCCATCCTCTGTGTGCCAATAAGGATGTTCTTAAGAGAACAAAGTAAGGGAGGTGAAGCATGGATGTCAGTCTTACTGTCCATTATATAAAGTATTTCTTATCCAAAAGCTCATTTTGAGATGCTGCCAGTGGAAACAGCTTCACCTTTCAGAAAGCAAACTGAAGAGCTTGAAAAATACAAAGCATCTTGTTCTCTACAGAGAAAAAGAGTAATTCTTTTCAGCCTCCAAAAGCACCATTTAATTTTTTTGTAATTCACGTGTGCTCAGGAAAACAAACAAGTAAATAACCAGGTTAGTGTTCAGGACTGAAAGCAGCTTGGTACCATTTTGACATGCCAACCCTATGAGAGATCTCCGCAAAAGTAGAGTTTCAAAGAAGGGCTCCTGGTTCCACTTCTGTAGCAATGTCAGAATTTTAGGAAAGGTGGAAAAAGAGGATGACAACTCAAAGTACAGTCACAATTGTCATGCCTGCTATGAGGGAAAGACAGACTCTACTCATGGTTTTGTACTGACTGCAGGGACAGTTAGACTGTTTTCTGAAGAATGGAAACACTGAGCAAATGAGTTGCACACAGATGTGTGGCTGGTGAGTGGCAATACACTAGCACCAACTGATGCTGTACCGAACTTCCCAATCTCTGGAAGAGATGATGTGGAGTGGTCCTCACGAATCAGGTTATGTACACCAAGCCGGTACTTTCTAAAGCAATCCTTCCTCAACAACACCTTTACAGACTATTAAAGTGACCCAGAATTCTTGGCAGCACCCGTTGCTCTCTATCACATCTCAACCTGCCTTCGAGACAGTCTTGTAAAATACTCGTTCCTATTTTTGAGCATTTTCTTTCATATATTTACAATGATTTTTCCCTTTAAGTATCAATAAGAAATATTTTCCCTCTGTCTTTAGAAAGGCTTTTTTTTGTATCTTATTGGCAATATAAATGGCACCTTTTAGTCTTCTAGGCTATCCCTAAAAAATACAACATTTTTACTTAAAATCTTACTCGAGTCTAAAGAGAACGTCAAAAGCTCATAGTGCTACTTCTGCTGCTGATCAATAGGACTCTTACCTGAGGGCTTTCTTCTATATATAGACTGCAGAAAGAGCAAGAGAGCACTTCCCAACATGGTCATTCATTATGTAATACATGAAATCTATTTCAAGCTTCCTCATGAAATTTTTAAAGGCTTTCATCTGTCCTATTTTTGCTTCTGCGACAAGATAAGGGAAGACTCTGGATTTCTTACCCGCACTATTTCGCAGTCAACATTTAATTCTGCAGCCACAGCTTCAATTTTCTCTCTGCAGACTGAGCCCAGGCTGGTCATGCCATTGTCCCAGTATTTCTTTAGGGTAGCTAAGTCTCGGTCACTAAATTGCGTGCGGTCCTGTAACTGTAAGATAGAAACAAATACTGTTAGATTAAAAAATCTGCTTATGCTGTTCACCTAATTTCCAGTGGTCTGCCTGTAGTAAGACACACACACTCCAGTGCCTCCATGGCTTTCTTCCTCTTTTGACTCTCCCTTAAGAATTTGGGTTTTTTATCCAGGGCAGTACTGAGTTCCCTGGGATTTGCTTTAAAGGTAATAGCAGCGCTAATGCAAGTTTACAGCACTTCAGCTTTGTTACAACTCCACCTGATTCTTTTTAATTTGTTTTATCTCAGTCTATAAGGTCTTCCTGAAAATAACTTTTCTCCCCCTGTGCTGTTTACTCTCTCCACCCAATTTATGCAAATTATTTCTTAAGGCTTTTCAAGTTTCTCACCCTCCCCCACCTCAAGTTCTTTTATCTTACTGCAAACTACAAAACATGCATAATTCAAAAGATTCCCAGATCCTAAAGGGAATACTTTAATGTTTATTTGGCAAGCTTCAGAGTTTAAATTGGTTCCGCTGTCTATTTGCGAGATCCCTGACTCTTCGTGTACATTTATCAAAACTGTGACAGTGGATTACTGATGAAAGGAGTAACACTGGAAAACAAATCCTAAATATCCCACCACTTCCTGACTACGGTTCCATGAACAGTACATACTAGTAGAACTTACAAGCTTTATCGAAAGCTTTAGCTTAGAGTTTTAACTAAAATCTAGTTTCTTTACACCAACCTATGTCTGTCATCTCTCCTGCTACTATGAGTACATACATGCAATGACAAAGTCTGCACTAAGAAGTTGTAGCCACATGTACCAAATCTGTCATTATTTCAACAGTTGAACTTCGTAAGGAATCCAGCTGGCACATTTAAAGGCTGCTCGAGTTAGAGCAGCAAAGTGCACCTCAAGGGCACCCTGCTGAGCAAAGCTGAATCCCTGATGCCTGGTGAGCCTTAGCAGATGCTGGTTTTCCCTGCATGCCTGACCTGAGCTCCTCCTCCCTACAAGCCATTTTTAAAGAACAGAAGTATAGTTACCTCCTCAACTGCTGCAGCAAGATCTCTTTTTATAGGTGTTGGCAAAATAGATTGTAACTTCTGAAAGTGATAGGAAAAGCGGCAGCCAAGCACTGAGAGCAGGGGAGGCGAAAGGAGTGCGATAACATAGTCAAACTACAGGGAGAAAGAGTCACTTTGGCCTGCCCTGCTTCCCTGAACACTCAGGGTAACTTCACTTTCTAAAGCATACTGAGCATTTTTTAAACATGAATAAGTAATATTCACTGTTGGTCCTGTAGAATTCACACTGACAACACTGTTGCAGCAACCCACCACTCCCACAGCTTACTGCGATCTGCACTTACTGATAAAATAAAATAGAGAATTCCTTCCTATTTAATGTGCATGGATTAAAGAAACCTCCTGGAACATGCCATGGAAATTCCCAGTCCCCAGCAGAGAGGTGAAATGAGAGAAGCAAAAGGAAATCTGCCTGGTATTACTGCAGATAAAAGGGAGCAACCCCCGTTAGTGTAGTTGTGTCTCACCTTGTTTGTAATGGCCAAATTAGAACAAAACCCAAGAAAGTACAGCTGATGCTGGAGTAAGTTCAGATTTCTGCTTGCTGCCTGATTTTCCAGTTATCTAAGAAAATGCTGCTTCTACTGAAAGAATACAGGGCAAGAATACTTGCTAATAGAAAAGCTTTGTATTTGTGACCTGCAAAACGATCTCATGTTAGACAAAAACACACACAATAGCTGACTGTAGACAGTTACCAAAGGGATGGTAGGAAGGGCACAGAGGCTGCTCAGCTCTTGCTTCTGAATACAAGAACTTTAAGTGGAAGAAGCAGTGTCTAGTAAAACTACCTGGCCCTCAAAAACGTTACTTAAAAAGTGTCACATCTTTTCCATTTTAGGTGGATGTATGTTAATTCTGATGATCTACTACAAACGTTTTAATACATATCTTATTAGACAGATGACTACTCAATGCTTTTCACTTCACAAGTGCTACGTAATTTTGCTACAAGACTTGGGCTGTACAGTCAGTCTCAATAGGTTAGATCAAAGTAGATGTTTTAATGTTTTAAAGTTACAGGAAGTATCCTGTAGCTACATTCCCAACGAAGTCTTTTGCAGCCACTTACTGTGGAAATGGAAAGGGAGAGATAACAAAACAAAACTCAGTTTTTGTTTTACCTCCTTGACAAAAATATTTTGCAGGTTTCAGATGACAATATGTATTTTTGGGGTTTTTTTGTTGCTGTTGAAGTTACTGCTGCAGTTTATCCTTTCACCTGTTCCTGACAAGCTCGTGCAGCAGCACATGAATCGCACTGATACTGATCTCAGGTCAGAGAAGAAAATGGAGAACAAGTTTTTTCAGTCAACTCATACAAAAGAAACAAAGAGCCCACAATACACACAGCACAAGGAAGAGTCCAGAAGGCAGGAACAGCTCTGAGGGGGAAAAACAAGTGCATGTAAATAGCAGATGATACAAAAAGTCAGGTTCCCTTCAAGACTGAGGAGAGAAGAACCACTGGGATGCCTGGCCCAATCCACCCCAGCAAACTCGGCATATTCTCCAATGAGTACTTTTCAATCTCACTTGAATTCTTCTGCTTTGGAGCCTGTATCTCATCTTTGCCTTTTTTCCCCGAGATCACACTACTGAATACAGTCAAGCAGATAGGAATAGAGCCTCTGAGAAGCTGAAAGCACTGCCTTCAGCAAGGTACATTTTGGCAGCTCTAACACAGCCGGTTGGTCTTTGCAGCAACAGAAGACAGAATCTGTCAGCTCTTCGGACTTGAAATTTTACCAGTGCCCCAAATGAAAGATCTTGACATTTAAGGGCTCCAATTCACCAAAGTTGCTGAAAGGGAAGCAGGTCACTGCATATCAAGTGAACCACAGGAGCTGTATGCCTGCCTGCTTCCACAGTGAGTGAGCTGCTTTATGGTACCTCAGAGGGCACAAAGGAAGATGGTTGGTTGACTTTGCTCACTTGCTGCACCACTATAAAAGGATCAGTCTTAACCCTTATGCTCACTGGATGCAAATAACTCTTCAGCTTGTTACAAATTTAGATCCAGGCTAACCACCTTTGTGTTACTGACTGTGCCACATGCCTTTGGATTATTTTCTTAGGGAAAAATCACAACCAACCTTCCATTAAGAGCATCATCCCCTTGACAAAGATTACACCTGAGTTTGAGTCCTGCATTATAAGCTGCTCAAAAATTACATAATGCTTTCACAAAAGTCAATGACTTATAAGAAAATAAAGGGTAGAATTTCTACATTGGACACATAATTACACTTCTGTCAATTTCATTAATAACATTCTCATGCTTAGTATCACCAGAAGAACTGAGGAAACAAGGAAAAAAAGCAGTCCTATAAATGTCATAACATTCATGGTTATGCATCAGCACAGAAAAAAACTATCAAAAGATAATATTGAGAAGCTTCGTATTTAGGACAATACTTTCCATAGCTGAAGACAAGCCAGTAATTCAGTTCTTATTTTTACTTTATTATAACAGCTATTACAAATGCAATTCTCATTTCCTCTCTTCAGATCCCCTGCTTGCTGATTCGAGGCTTGTCTTTATCCTCGGCAGTGTTGACTGCTGAATTCTTCACATTTACCAGTTCTGTTGCCCATAGCCTGAAAAGCAGAGAGAAGCTTCTTCCCCGCAGAAAATAGACTATCAACTCACAATGAAAAGCAATCCTTGTGAGCAAATTGAATCAGCAGTTCTGCCAAGCGGAGGGTTAAACCCTGCTTATCCCCTGACCTCCCAAGTGTAACAACAACATTCTTGTAAGAGATGACCCAGTTTATTATAGACATTCCTGGCACTTTGCCGAGCCCCTCATAATACCCACTGTGCATGCAATATTTGTGGTGCAAATCTGGTGTCTATAATTGGTATGAATAATTGCACTGCACTGGAGTGTCCTTATCCTGCCTTTTATTAGAGCCTGCTTTTTTAGATCAGTTTTTATGCATGAGTTGAAAATGTTTCAGGCCACGTGCACAAAAGCTATACACAATCTTCAGATTATGAATAAAAGACATGTTAAAAAAAGAGAACTAGAGCTTCAATGTAGATGTACTAACTATTAGTGCACAAACTGTTAGAGAGAGACTTTTTGCATCTTTTTCCACTGGTTGAATAAGCTTAAAGTTTGCTCTGATGGAAGTAGAAGTGATAAATACTTCACGGTACCACAGCTTGAAAAGAGCTGTAACTGCTTCAACACTCAGCCTAAATTACATATATTCTGTTAATGTTTCTAAACCAAACACAGCTAAGAAGAAGAAGAAAAAAAAAGAAAACAGGGAGATACCAGTGCAATAAAACAGCCTAGCCAAATAATTACAGTCTAAACTCCAGTCTTCTCACTCCATAATCAACCTCCAGTCCACACAAACTGGCAACTCAGCCTTCTTGAGGTTTTGAACCATAATTATCGTGATTCTTATGTAATCTATTGATGTCTTCCTTGCATTTAACTAAAAAGCCTGCTATTCCAATACCTGGCCAGATAGGACGTATTTCCAGCCTGCAGGATCACAGTTACAATAAGCCTAGGCAGGATGCCATATAATAACAAGATCTATTTCATCTGAAACAATGGTAAGACATGCCTACCCTCTGCATCCATTGAAGCATTGCTGTTGGGAGTAGTGAAGAGGTGCTGTTGACAGTACAGTGGTGATGACATGCTCTGCATGTTATTACCATGTAATGTAAACATGAATGAAGTGCAGTATCTTGAGATATGTGGTGAAATATTTCACAGAAGGAAGAACATTAACCAAATCCATTAACCCAAATGACACAGAAGGTATGAACAAGGACAGCGTTCACAGCGTCCTGTGATCTTCAGGTTGGTTTGTCTGCCTCTCTTGATGAAGACTCTGACTATCTTACTCAGATGTGCTCTCACCAGTTCGACTAAAATACAGTTTTCTTCCCTCTGCCCTTCTAGGAGACGAGAGGAACGTGAACTGGTGAAGAGAACTTCACAAGTTGGTACAGTTTTAAAACAAAAGGTACATCTGAGGTGCACTTTGACTTCAGGTAGCTTTAATCCCTATGGGCGCTCACTTTACTTTAGAGGCCACCCTAAGACATTTTTTCTTTTTGTAGGCTTTCTGTGGCAGCTACAGTTTTCATGGCACTTTTAGACCACAGTCCAACAAGGTATTTTCAGTGGTAGTTACACTGATGTAGTCTCTTCCACACATCCAGCTGTGGCAGCTCTTGCCCTGCCCTGGGGTTAGACCAGCTCCTCTGCCTGATTCAGAGTGCCTGACAAGCAGGACTTTCAAGTAACACTTTAATGCCACTATCTCCAGAATGTTATTCAAATAGCAATGTTGAAAGAGCAATTTACAAACCAGAATTTAACACAGGAGCTCTCCACTCATTTCAGCTATTTCCCTCCCCACAAAATACATGTCAGACTGAAAGGCCAGACACCCCAAGCTGAAGAGGCAGATCCAGCTAACCTATGGTAGGAGTTCCACCTAAGTGCAGCAATACCTTCAAGAAGGTCTCAAGGCCATCACTACAATGCAGTGTTGCTTAAGGTAGGGGGAAAATACAAATACCCTGTGAGTTTCTTCACTGATTTCCTACACCTGGTTCCAAAGGGTGACTGGGCAGAAATAATTCTAAGACCTTAATCTGCTATCTTAATGCTATCTTCAGAGTTAAGACCACTAGAACTGATCCTAATTAGAAATAAAAAAAAAGCTAAATCTTCCCCTCTCCCCCCAAAATACAGCTTCACAACTAAGCAAGGCACTCTAGGTGAGCCAGCTTACTTAGAGTCAATACCTATCTGACAAATGTTAGCATATCAGGTTATATCTAGCATAAACACTAGCCACCTGCTAAGGCAACAGAGACTTAAGCACAGTTGGTACACTCAAGACCTAAATGCAACAACAAAAGTGAAGATATTTTCCCCCTTTAAATTCTCTCTAACCAGTATCTTCACTGCTGTTTTTGAATCCTTGCTATCCTTCCATCCTATAAAAATCCCCAAAAATCAAAGCATTTGTAAAGGCCAATGCATTGCACATGCACCATGACAGAATACAGAACTCCATAATTTCCAAAGACATTCTCATGAACAACAGAGGGTGGTATTTCCAGCCTAACGTTCATTAACAGTCAGGATTACATCATCTTACAGTAGAGCTGAGCAGAGTTTCTGCAGAACTGCACAGTTTTATTTCTCTCGATACAGTTGAAGGACAGGGCAAGGAAAACAAAACATCAAGGCGAAACATTAAAAATTCAGAGCATCTAAAAGATGATCTTTTCCATTCTAAACAAAATACAGATTAGCCTTTTTACTGTTTGAATGGCAGTAATTGCCATAATCGCAGTTCTACAACTCTATCCATTCTATTTTTGTTCTCTTACACCCTTTCTTCAAAAGAATTTCACATTTGAACTGAAGTTTCCTTGGAAGTGGGAGCTTTTTCTCTCTTTGTTGTCTTACACCTGTGTGTATACAGCAGTTTTAGAGTGCCAACTCCTACACTTGTATCCTTAAGTAGACTAATTATGCATTCAAATGGGACAAACTGCATCCACAAATCTGGAAACAGATGATGTCAAAATGGACTGTATTAACCAATGGGGTGTAAGCACTTTATTAAGGAAGACTTGGGAGTAAAGGTCTGAGGAAAAAGAAATTCCTAATAACCATCCCTAATAAACAGGCACTTCCACATCCTTGAAGGTTTTAAGTTTACTGCAGAAATTTCTTCTACAGGTTGCATTAGATGTGTAGCATGGTATTTCAAAAGCATGATCAGCAGGTCAAGGGAGGGGATTCTCCGCATCTACTCCACTTGATGAGACCCCATTTGGAATATTGTGTCCAGCTCTGGGGTGCTCAACACAAGCAGGATGTGGAGCTGTTGGAGCAAGTCCAGAGGAGGCCACAGAGGTGCTGCAAGGGCTGGAGCAGCTCTGCTATGGAGACATGCTGAGAAAGCTGGGGTGGTTCAGCGTTGGAGGAGAGGAGGCTCCAGAGAGACCTTAGAGAAGCTTCAGTGCCTGAAGGGGCTACAAGAAAGCTAGAGAGGGACTTCTGACAAGGGCTTGTAGGGATGACATAAGAGGCAATGGCTTTCAACTGACAGAGGGGAGATTTAGATTAGGTATTAGGGGGAAGTTCTTCCCTGTGAAGGTGCTGAGGCACTGGCACAGGGTGCCCAGAGAAGCTGTGGCTGCCCCATCCCTGGCAGTGTTCAAGGCCAGGTTGGACACAGGGGCTTGGAGCAACCTGCTCTAGTGGAAGGTGTTCCAACCCCCTGCCCCCTATGGTAGGGGATTGGAACTGGATGAGCTTTAAGGTCCCTTCCAACCCAAACCATTCTATGACCACCATGCCTCAACAACCAGTGCTGAGAAACATCATACCGTGCTCCCTTCACAGTGCTCAGCCACATGTTCCTGCTCCTGCTTTGAGCTGGCTCTGGCACTCATCTGATCCCCAGTAAGTCCATTCAGCCCACTAAAGACAAACTCAGCAGAAGAATATGAATCTGACAGCTCAGATGCCTGACCTGGATTACCTTGCAATTAGAAACCAGCATCAGTGCTACAGATGGGGTGGCAATACGCTAGACGGGGGGAGGGGGAAAGCTGTTTCATACCTTGTGTTACAGTTTGGAGTCATTTGTGTCTTGAGGACACCAACCTGGCTGATTCTGCCTGATGTGAAATGACATGTATGTGGATAAAATTAGACTTGGTAAAGTTACTACAGATAGCAGGGACTAATTCTGTGCATGTGCAGAGTAGCCGAAGAAGGAGTTACTCTTAAGCATTCAGTTATCTTGATTAACAATCACTTAACTTTCAATGTAATAAAAGCATTCTTGAGCTATAAACTCACAGTCCTTACCAGTCCAGGTGTTGTATTTCTGCTAATAGCACAATTCATATACCTGGGCATCACATTACTCGACACAGGATTATAACCTTGACCTGCTTTTAAAGATACACATCAACCTTACCTTAACTGAAACACTGCGTCTGCAGATGTTTGTATCAGTCAAAGTACAAAAGGAACATGAGGTAAATAGAACTGTCAGTTTCAAAAATGCATTTTAATAAACTTTCCACTCCCCTTAATGCATTAGATACTTAAATGGAAATATACTTACTGCTCTTTTTCTGGAACAACCTGTAATCCAAGGCACAGTAAGGTTTCCTGAAATCTGTAGAGGGAGGGAGGAAACAGAACAGAAAACAACAGCAGCTTAGCTTGCTATGACAGCTAATACTGAGCAGCTTTCACAATGTTGTGCTTTCAAGTCTGTTAGGAATGTCTTTAAGACAGGTTAAGATTTAAAAGCAAAACAAAGTCAAACTTAGCCTTACTGTTGTAAGGCTAAAACCAAAACACTGTTTCTTTCGGAGAAGGTAAAATAACACGAGGGCAACTTCTGTACTTTTGCCATCTCAAAACTTGTATTTCAGAACAAAAGTTTTCACTTTCAATCTGTCACAAGCCCCGTAAGATTAAGCAGACTGGACTTAGACAAGGGCCAATGTCTGACAGAACTGCTGACACACATTCTTCAATTACATCAGTCAAACATGCAGAAAAAATTAGCACCTGTTTGTGACTGAGCTGGTCAATGTCAGATGTTAAGGACTTGCATATTACCAGAAAATCTAGGGACATCGGATTGCAGAAGGAAGGGGAGGTATGAAGGCAAAGGTTTGCTGCCTCAATTCCCATTGCTTTCCCATCATTCCCAGTGACCAGACTTTACCAAATAATATCTTGGACTGTTTTCCCTGGCAATCTGAAAGGAGTCACAGCCTGGAATATTTTAGGCTTCTTTAGGATTCATGTTCTGCTGCAGACAAGCAATGCTTGAGACATTAAACATAGCTCTTGAGAGATTAATGAATCTCAAGTCACTACATACACTATATATGTGAGGAAGAAGAATCTACTCACTTCTGCTGACTGTATCAAACTACACTAATAGTTTTTGTATTTGCAAGTGCTCTAATAATGAATCTTGCAGCATGAGCATAACCAAATATAGAATACCTGGTACAGCCTGTCTGGTGTACAAGCACAGAAGATACTTTTATTCTTCAAGCTTTCAGCTAGAAGCACTTGGAGGTTACCTAAGGTCAGACAATTTGTCATTACAGCACAAGGCCAGTTGAGGGGGGCTAGAAATGAACACCCTTCCTCCTAAGGGCAAGCCCACGTCAGCTTTTGTGTCTCAAATATTCATTTCCTAGCTGCACACATACATTTGAGAAACTATAGAATGACAATTCTGTATCTCACCACAACTTCAGACCACAGAACCCCTGTAAATGCCTCCTCAGTATCCACTCAGATGGCTTCTCCTCAGAAATTTGAAGTGGGGCTACAGAAAAAAAAGTGCTTTCCTATGTGAATATAGCAATCAGTCTGTCAGAGCATTAACGGCTACTTGGAAGACAAATGTGCACAAGCTCTGTCAGGTATGATGGCAAATACAGGCGAGTTTATCTCAGTGTAACTACTTGAAAGACAACATGCATCCTCTTGTCTTCAGAAACCTCTAGGGATATAAACAAATCACTTTGACACATTAAAAATAAAAAAGAAAAATGGATTCCCATTTCCTTAAATAAAGCAAACTTGCAGCTCATTCATACAAAGCGGCATCCTTGAAGTGAATCTTAAATAGATATATATGTATTATATACATATCTATCCAGATGTACTGTCTGCAAGGCCTCGGATTTTCCCTTGAAGAAGACAGGGCTAAATTAGGTAAGTCTGCTTCAGTGTGTGTAACAAAGTAATTAAAAATACACATACTTTCCACAGTATTTTTGTCCTTTGGGGTTGGGGGAAGGAAACCAAGACTAAATCACGATTCAGCCTTGAGGCCCAGCAAGAATAGCCTCTGTAATTCAACTCGCTTAAAGCCAAACTAAGAAAAGTAGGTTGAACAATTTGTTTACTGAAACTGCTCAGGCATTAAAATTGATCACTTAATTAAATTTATTCTTAAGTTACAGTAACATGAATTTGATTAATGGAACCAGTAAGGAAGCTATAACTAATTGCTAATTAGATACTCCACCAATGTACGACAGTAATTACTTCATCAAAACACAAATCACACAGTTCTGACGTTAAAGAAGCATCTGCTTGGATGTTTAACTACTCCAATAATCATGTAGCTCAGGTTTAATCTATTTTTAAATTTAGGAAAATTTCCCTAAGTTGAAGGATTTTAATTCCTACACTGATGGATAAATCAGCTAAACACAGGCAATAAAATGAACAGAAAGTGACTCCATACAGAAGAAGTGCCATCCTGCGTAAGTCTAAAAGAATTCAGACAGCACCTCTTATAAAATCTACATCTCCTGAAGCTTAATATATAAATATTATTAAGCTATAAGGGGAGTTGCTACATGAAATAGAAGTCATACTGGACTTAATTTTAAGGGGAGGATTTAGAGAATGGAGTTCAACTGTTCCAGAACTGATGATTTCAACAGAACATGTTAATGGCCTAGCAGGGTATACTATTTGTTACACAGGACCTTGAAGGCAGTAGGTGAAATTTTCTTGCCAAGGTAATAAATGAGTGTTGGAAGCCTCACTGTCATACATTGTCGTGGTTTAAGCTGAACCCAGGACATACACTAACACATCTTACAATACAGAACTTACTTTTGCATTGTTCTGGAACATGCTAGAAACTTCTCAGTGACCTGGAGAAATCGGGACCATTGTTCCTCAAGGTATTATGGCATCAGGCCAGGCTGCAGGACAATATTTCTCTCTGCAGCTTCCACAGAGCCATGATACCACATGCCTTCCCTTATAAATTCTCTAACAGTGTCATCTTAGAGGTTCACAGCATGCATGCTTATAGCAGCAAGTGAATTAATACCAACCTGCCCAGTTTTTCCAATGCAAAGTCTAGGGTGCTTGCCCAAATCCAAAGAACAGGGTCTCAGAGACAGGCATGGAAGTCAAAGGGGCTATCAATGAATTCCCCACTTAAAAAACCCCTCCAGGTACATTATTATAACAGGAAGAAAAAAAAAATAACCCCAAATGGAGTTACAGGTATCTCCTTGTTCTGATCCATATCACATCCCATGGACAGATATAAAATGTCACCTACCATAAATGGTGTTTCATGAACTAGCTGTTTAAAAAGACTTTTGTCCCTACCCAAAAGAAAATCCCAAATCAAAATTATTTCAAATTGCATTAAAACATTAAAAAAAATTAGTAAGAAATAAATCTCATTAATGCCTTTTCTAGAGTGAAACAAGACAAGACAGCTGGAGGTATCAACGATATGTTTCACTTCATGAAGCTTAAGAAAACTTCATTAACTGTTGTATGCACTTTTGCCGCTTTACCAGCCCTTTATTGCACAGATATGCACATTTACAGCTTTTCTTCTATGCAACTGGGACATCAAAAGTAAACAGCATTTAATGCATTTTATAACTCAAGTAAGAACAGTAATAGCAAATACTGACAGACTGGATGAAGGAAGAAACAGTAAGAAGAGCTTGTCAATTGCAGATGTCCCATCTACTACACAGACTGCTCCAGAATAAATATGCTCATCGAACCTCAGGTTTATCAGGAAAAGCAACAATTCTGGTGAGAAGTGGCACTTACGTGAACTCAAAAGCTTTGTTTCAAATCCTCACAAGACAGGAACAAGTCAGAAAAAAAGAAAACAACCAAACAAAACAAAACAAACAACAAAAAAAAACAAACCCAAACCACTTCAAAGTATTGTTCCCTATGCTAGGGAGCAATGCAGAAGAAAAGATGGTATGTTGTTTACATGGTTCACTTTCAGGTAGATTAAAAAGGTAGTAACAGGCAAATGCACAAAGGCAACACAGGCAGAATCACATCCTGTCAGTCTTGAGACTTTTACCTCAGGGTTTCTAGACTATATCATGGCAGATGGCATAAAAATCCATGGGGAAAAAAAAAAATCAACAAAAAAATCAATTTGGCTGTTTCCTGCCCAATTATCTTTCCTGTAGTTATTACAAAAATTAAAAATATGTGTGTCAGTGTCCTACCTTCTGAACATCTTTTAGTTCTTCACTTATCTGCATTTAATTTTCCCCTCTCAGTATCACTGCAGGGACTCTATCACAGGATAAGGAAATAATAAGATTGAATGTAAAACCGATATTTGAATTAGATGCTGTGGGAGAGGAAAAATATTTGCTCACTTAGTGTCTCTCATCATCTCAACGATCTCGCACGAGATCCTAATCCCTAACAGAAAATAGGTCCAAGAGATTGGCAACTACACAGGGGGTTTGGGCAGTGCTGAGGGAAGAGCTAATCCAAGCTGACATTAATAAGGACAAACAACTGCACAACAGACAGATGATAGCATGATCCTATGTTCTGCCCTGTGCCATGTGCAAAGTCCGTCTGCAGAGGAACAACCAAGGGTATGACTGTGACATGTGCTGGCAAGCCAAGTCAGGACAGTGCACACTTGAGCCTGCATCAGTTGTAGGCATGACCCTCTTGTAACCAAAGTTTACCTATCAAACCTATGAAGCCCACACTGCAGTTCAATACACAGCTGTACACTGCAGTGACGGGCTTAGCAATACAGATGAGTGCTACCATACTGCAGTGCTACCTGCACGTCTGCTTATGAAGAGATGATCTCTAACCGAGAGATGTAAATTGAGCACAGCCTGCAGAAAGGTGAACCTAACACTTACTAGCTACCAACTTTCAAACAGTACTTATCTACAGACTTGTCTTCAAGGTTTGAAGACAGATAAATGGATGGATTACCTGATAATTATTTTGGTTTTGTGACAGCCTCAGTTGACTTGAAGTTGTAAAATGAGGAGAAAAGGTACTTCTTGATGGATTAGCACTGCTATATAATGTACTGGAAGTTGTATGTAATGAGGTCCGTGCAGGCAAGTGATAGTCTCTGTTATGATACAGAATATTGTCAGGCACGTCCCTGGCATTCACCATCTGTGAACTACAGCTCACGTTTCTTCCTGGCCCAGACAAGGCTGCACTTTGGTTCTCTACTCGAACAGAACTGCTACTTTCACAGTATCTTGAATAGCTTTGTATTTGTGCTCCCATGGACGCTAGCTCCTCTTCTCTAGCATATTCATCATCCACGTCTCCAGTTTCCATCGCGATGGACAGACAGGTGCCTTCCACTGAGCAATGCTTCTGCGCTGTGCTTCCTCCCACCATTCTCTGAGGTTGATCTGTAACTGCCAGAGAAAACACTTCACGGATTTCCAGGTTTTGTGTGCTACAGGAAGGGTCCCTGGCATTAGCCCTGTGTCCTGGGGGCACATGCGACGTGAGAGCTGCATGGTCTGGCTTTTGCAACCGCTGACATCCCATGGGTTCAGCCTTACAGGGCCTGTGGCATATCATCGGCTTCTGAGGTAACACCAACTCTGCGGTCTGGACTGATGAACCACCATAGCTTTTTTTAGTGTGACTATAGATGGAGTTCGCAGAATTCAGTACACTTGTTTGCCTAGATAAAATAATAGTCTTTTCCCCTACTAATAGGGAAGCATTTTTACAATGTGGTACTTGTCGTCCTATGGGGATGTGCTGCTGCTGAAACTCGGTATCGCTTTTTCCTGGTAGCCGTGGAATAGAGGTTTTATGTATTTCTGCCACTGAAGCATTTGTCTGTTTGGTGGGTCCTTGCCTACCAGAAGAACTAGCAGGACTGTATATACCAGTAACTATTACATCGTTATTAGAAGAGGTCCAAGAAGTCTGCTGACTTTGGGATCGACCAATATTTACCACATTTCTAACTGCTGCTTCTGGAGGTACTGAGGGAGTAGTAGGGACAGTCCCTGGGGGAGTGCCTCCAGATTCTACAGCACTCTTGCTGCTCATCTTCCTTCGTTTATTGCCAACCCACGTCTGCAAACAACAATGACAACAAACACAAAACAAAGCATTAAATAAGCAGAAAAATAACGCAATTCCATTTTTAAGCAGATCTGATGAAATGTTAAATGTTCCAGTTGAGGCCTAAGTTTACAAAAATGCAAATAATTTACCCACTATGCAGCATCTGAACAATACAGGGTGGAAATCCATGCCTCTCATGGTTGGAATTAATATACTAACACATGAGAACCCCACTTTCAATTCAAAAGCCCCAGTTACTCAAAAATCCTGAGACTGGTTTTGCTTCCTGTCCCAGAGTTACCCTTAAGATTTCTTTCACTGATCAAGCTGTGACTAATCCCTCCAAATTTAAGCTTTTAATATTTAGCACCCTGAGATGCAGAACCATCACTGAGGTATGCAGCTAACCTTTTGTACCCAAATAACTGAGATATCACCTTCAAAACTGCCTTAAACAGAAACTGCCAATTCTTGAATTCAAATGAGAGAAAGAAAAAGAACTCTTTTAGACAACTACAAAACAATTTTGTGAGTATTGAGACCCACAGATTAATTTCTCCTCTGCCAGCTGCATAAATCAAGATCTGATGTCAAAACCTGCTTTTGAAAGACACAAGCAGACAAGATTAGGACTATCAGGATTAGATTCTGACAGAAGTTTGCTATTATGGACATCTCAGAAAGTGACAATAACAGTTATATTGGGCTTATGTAAAAGACAGCCTAGGAAAAAAATCATCGAGAAATGCAGGTACTGTGGCAGTCGTGCACAGGTTGAAGTGTACTGCTGTTTTAAACACACAGGAAAAAACCTGTCCTGCAAGTAACACATTAAGATAGAGCTAAAAGAGCTGAAGGGAAAATACTAACTTCAGTATTTCAAGATAAAGAGAGTTAAGCTGGTGGAAGCATCAGCTCTAACTCTGGAAGCATAAGCACCACTTAACTATCCCTGCCAATATTCATGATCAGAGAGACAAAACCTGCTCAAATTCTTTCCATCTGTCTGTACTGAATGTGAGGGAGCAGGATACAAGAGCCAAAGAACAAGAAATAAGCTTTCACATCTGCTTATGCTGGTTATGAAAAGGATCATATAAGCATATAGATAATAGTGAAAGTTTCTGCACCACACTGGGTATCATCTACCACACACCTACCACCAAACCAAAGCAAGATCTCAACATTCAGCAACCCAAACCAGTTGGTTTAACTAGTAAACTCCCTCATCTCATACCAAGAAAACTTACTGAGTACCTATCTTGGGTTTCCATCTCATCACATGAAAGGAGGAAAGGTTTTTTCATATACTGATACCTGCTAAGGAAGTTAAACAGATTTTTCTATGGAAAAATACACATCCCTGCCCTACAGAAGTATGTTGAAGTCTTCATTCCATTCCACTTATGTTTGTTGTAAAATTTTACGACGTGCCTAATTTGAGGCATGATTCATTGCGTGCAGGAACATCTCGGTTACTAATGATCAAATTTTTCTTCTCAAAAGCAAGTTTAAATACAGAAGTTACAGTCATAGATGTTAAGTTCCTTGCTTTCATTGAATAAAACAAATCTAGAAGATCAAATTTTGTTGTCATAATTTCTGCTCAGTCAGTAAATCTTCAAGATAGAAATTATAGACACCACAAATTTTGGACCAGGAGAGAAATTTCATCCCTAACTTTTCCAACTGTATAGAACTAAAATCTAAAGGTTTTCCTCACACTTTTCCTGAAAAGAAATACATTCAAAGAAATGCAAGTAACTTACTAGCACTGCTGTTCACTTGGGATTAGAGTTTCATGAGACAGCACAAATCAGATTTGCCACTTGCTCAGAGTCCCGCTCTCCTGACCATGTCCCCAGCTTCATACTCCCACTATTTACCCAAAAGCACCCACCTGAAGGATCAGTGAAACTCCCCCAAAAGCCATAAAACTGAATTGATAAAAAGAAAAAAAATAAATGAAGAAATCAACAAAAGTTTTGGTGAGGTTAGCTAAATGCTGGGTTACTCTGAATAAAGGCAAGAGATGATCAGTACAAGATGACAGACAAGAGAGAAAGATTTGCACAGCTGAGAGAAAAGAGTTCAAAACCTCCCATTTTTAGCACTGTGAGACATAAGCACTGAGAATAATTAGCAAAACCTTAGACTGAAAGGGAAGCTCCATGTTGTTACTAACTTGATGGTCATGGTATCAATTTGGGATGTGACAGAGGAGACATTAAGTACAAAATACCCTAGTAAAACGGACACAAATCCATCTCTCCAAACTGTACGTTTTGGGAGCACTTTCCCTGACACTGGAAGCATTACTAAAATTTTAACTATTATTTAGGAGGAGAAAATTACATTCCCAGTTTGAATCAGGCAGAGCTGGAACTTCAGACTGTCCCACATTCCAGACACACACGCCACAGGGACTGTCAGTGGTGTCTGGCCTTTACCTTTGACCAGGAAGTCCATCCTAAGTCTGAAAATAAAGTGTCCTCAGGAAATCTTTCAAGAGGTGTAAAAGAACAACGAAGCTGTAACTCTTCTGGTATCTGTTGTGATACTATGGGGAGAATCCCACATCACCTCCCTGATCACTGCTCCCAGCGCTCCCTAACAGTGTGAAAATCAGACTTGGAAAGCTTCTGCACTTTATCAAGTCATATTGCTCACATTTTGCATAAAGACAAAAAACAAACAGCAGAAGTATGCTAATACTAATGAACAACACCAGGACATTCAAACCTGACAGCTAGAATAGATGCTTATTGAATTTGAAGAGAGACAGGCTTTTTTTCCCCGGGAGTAACTTTACCACATTCCCTAATTTTGAAAGGGAGAACGTATTTTTAGGTATTGCAGTAATAAAATCTGTAGAGGTTTACAGCAATTCATACATCATTCTTTTTTCCAACCCAGCTCAAGATTGGAAAGACTGGATGTTGTTCTATCAGACAAAGGCTATAGAAATCCTGAGTCAGGGAAAGAACATATTCACAGAGTAATGACATTTGAATTACAGCAGCTACATTTAGGGAATTCTTGTTCCTATTATATCTGCAAATGCCAGCTGCAACCCAAGTATCATTTTGCTCGACATTGAGCAAAGAAGTATTAACCTCTGTCCAAGAGTTTTATAGAGAAAAAAGGGGGATGAGGAGAGGCAGAAAGGAGGGGTGTAAAGAAGAGAAAGGCGAGATCACGCAAAAATATGATAAATGAAGGACAAATGCTGGGTCTGTTTCCACTGCACTGTAGGACGAAAGTTTAAGTATTACAAGTAAGAGCTCTGTAAGGGAATAAAACTAAAGGAAGGTCATGATACAGTATTGCACTAAGGAAAAAAGGGAAATGGAAGTCGGAAGATGGAAAGTGAATGAGGACTGCAAGCAGAGGAGAGACTGGCTGCCTCCTCTGTGCCCTTTAATCAGCATAAAATTAGAAAAACAGGCCCCGACTGCATCATCAGCACCCAGATTCCTGTTACAACTCTTTGTCTGTTTCAGGGAGTCTGAATTTCTGGCTGACTTTCAGAACTTCCCACTACTTAGAGCTGAGAAAGTAAGTTTTAATATTTCCAGAGCATTTTGAGGGAGGGGAACCCAGGCAAGAATTAGGGAGCAGGAAGAGTTGTTATTGTCAATATACCACTGGTACACCACTTAAAGTAAAAATAGAGTGGTCTTACTCCTTCCTCTTCAGTGTCCAGTGTTGCAGCCACGCCTGGTAGCTCAACTACTGTTATTTTTTCCACTAATGCTTCATGATTTCTATTTCTGCTCTGAGACAACAGCCATTTTGTTGTCTAGTGTTTCACAAAGGGATTATTATTTCCCTTCCCGTGGAATTCATAGACTTTGGAAGAGCTCCTGTTAGAACTAGCGACATTCTTCTTTTATAAGATAAGAATGCACTCACTGTAAATAAGCACGAGGGACCACAATATTTATGATTGTGACATGAAATACAAGTGTGACAGAGTGCGTCAAAAGAAATACTTCCACAATTATTCCTCCAAATACATTAGGTTATATAAATTTGTTTAACTTAATAGTTCCTTAACAACAGGACTTTGATACAATACATTGCACAAGGTTTCTATGGAGTAAACTAATTTGCAATTTAACAAATAATAATAAAAAGCCCGAAAACACAAACCAAAACACCATCAACAAAAGACAAACAAACCAACCAACCAAAAACCACTCCTTGTGCAGTCCAGGCCCCTGCTAAATACAGCAATCACGTGAAGACATTTCAGCAAAAACAAACTATGAACAGGCTCACCGGATAAAAAAGAACATGTCACACACACATACTGAAGTCTGATTTAAGACAAGTATGAAGTTAGAGACTCCAGCCCTCTACAGGTATTTTATGTAAAGAAATGAATGTGTATAACTTTAACATACAAATTTGGAAGGCCTCAGTACTTACCCTGACTACACTGAAGTCCAGTTTAGTTTCTTGTGCACACTGTAATATGAGCTGAAAGCAATTTTTACTTTGATTTGTCATTCCATTTTCATAATAACGCTGCAATATCCTTTGTTGCTCTACAGTAAATACAGAACGCAGATTCATCTAAAAATAAAAGAAGATACTCTGAAAGTTGGAATAAAAACTGTAATACTTGCAGAATGTACAGGCTGTCATTTATGCTTGTTGTGATAACACTAAGTGTTGACATGTTTTCTTTACAGAGTCCTTTCCCAACACTTTTACTTACTTTCCAAAAACCCCCTGTTACAGTCAGCATTAGTGATTCCTTTGTGATAGACTCAAGTTGAATAGATGAACTACATGTTTGGAACAACACTGACAGCCTTTCATAAATAAATAACTAGTACATTGGGTTGCTAAGTCCAAGAGCCTCTAGTTTCAAAGAAAAAGTTTCTTTCTTAAGAAAAAATAAAGGATAAAGGCATTAGGCAGACAGAGTAACATCAGCAGCTCCAACAATATTGTAAGGTCTGTTTCCCTCCTCCTGCCAAAAAAAATCTGAGATAAAATAAAGGTGACTGTTTGGCACAATTAGAGTTTCTGTTGTCTCCAACTTCAGCAAATCCTACACTCCGTTCTGGCTGGTCATGCTACTCCTTCTGCTGTGTTAGCACCAGCACTTCCCAGCTGCAGTCACAAAGATCAAGGAGCAAAACTGAAGACAAACTGGAGGGAAAAAACCCAAAGAGAAGGTCTTTAAGCAGTTCTGGTCCAGCCTACTGCAATGCTAATGCTCCAATATTAACACTAAGGTGGGACCACCCAAATCACAGCCTGAGGTTAGAAAGGTTAAAGCTTTAGAAAGGTTTCAAACTGTGAAACTGTACCCTGAGGCTGTACTACTTGAGAACACGTAAGGGTTGTTTTACAGAGGTAAGAGGCTGACCCTTTGCTGAATGTTTCAGCATGCTCAACCAGAATGAGGAGACCTTCGCTCCTCCCAGGCTAACAGCAACTCTCCAGGTTCTGTTTACAGCCTGTTGAGCCAGCTCAGCACCGAGTCCCACCATGAGAGAGCGTTGCTGTGTGGGGACAGGGTCACAGCAGTGGCAGGAGGTGTCCAGGGACAAGACAGCCTCGTCAGCAAGGGTTTGATGAACAAGTTAAACCAATATAGCTTTTTTATACGTGAAAATTCATGCCCTACCTTAGAAAAGGCAAACAGCTGAATATTGCCAAGTAGAGAACAGGTTCCCTAGCACAGGCTCTTGTTATATGGTCTATACAGGCAAAGAATATAATCTTCTGGTTACATGTAAGAAAAGAACCCCATCACCATCGGATTTCCATACCAAGGACTTTATTTTATCCCAAGCGGGAGGCTGCCAGCTAAGACACCACTAGCACTCACCAGGAACAACCTGCATCTGACCTCATGCCTCAGAAAGTCACCATCCACAAGTTATTTTTAACACTTTTAGTATATGTATCCAAATAATGCAAAACAAACTAAAGAACAAGAAAACATTCCATCACCTTATAGGAAAATAAAGGGGATGAGAGAATCCTTTGTAGCTACCAAGCTTTTAGTTACCAGTTTTGGAAATTCCAGATGGAAAGGAGGAAAGTAGCAATGTATTTAATCTTTGCACAAGAACTCCTTTTAATTTAGAGCAAATAAAATTATTACGGGCTCAAAAGCTCAACTCCTTTCACATCATTAATCAAGATGCTTATACTACATAATGGTAATGGATATTAGAATTTGACAGGCCTTTAAAAAGAAAAAGATTAATATCTAGAATTTGGAGTAAAATGCTTATAGGCCAGAACTTTGATCCTGCAGTTTAGTTTCCTTTATATCAAGAGACCACAGAAAAATCACTAAGTACCCATTTGTAAAAATTACATTTTCTTTTCAATAACACTTAAAACAGAAGATGATTTCTCAAACATATTTTTACCTCTGTTCCCAATTCTTGTTTACCCTCTCATTCTTGTGCATTATTAAACGCAGAACCACCACCTGCATCACAAGTCAGGCTTTGCCTGAGTTATGCCTCCACCGGCATGTGTATTCAGCCACAGCTGGTCAAAGGAGCCTCTTGCTCTGAATACTCTGCTGTTCACATAAATTTATGGCAAGCAACAGAAGAGACAGTTGTAAGCCCATTAAGAAATCAATAAAGTTCATCAAAATCTATATAAAGTTAAGAATTGTCTTCAGATCTCCCCTGTGGATACACAGGATGATGCAGCCACCAACTGATTTATAGCACTTTTAAAGAATACACAAGAGTTAATTTTGTGATTCCTTTTCCTCCTGCACGACTGGCAGGTCCCAGCTTAGACTTCTGTGTCTGCTATTCTTTCAGTATGAGAGGTCCTGGTTTACTTAGTTGAGATCAGTTCCCACAAACAACCTCATCACAAATAGTTATGAACCTTGTATCTTTCCATATCCAAATGAAGCCTGTCATCAAATAGCCAGCATCTCTATACATAGGCTCATCAAAAAGCAGCATGCTCTCCACAGAGTTCATCAACTGCAATGAAGACTCCTCCAACTACCAGACAGACTTCTAGAACCAGACCTCATGACCTGCAAATGAAGATACGTGTCAGGTCCTTGACATGTTTTTTAATTATGTGGATTCCCATATCCAAAGTCACTTCTGTGTTAAAATACTTTCACTGTTGTATTTGACATTTGTAGTTTAGGCAAGGACAGGGTGGAGCATTGGGTGAAATCTCCTGATGTTCAGAGAACCCTATATGCATTGCATGACAGACTTCATCCAGCTCAGCTCTAGAGAGGTCATGGTCTGGCTTAATAAACAACTCATCTTTGCAGTTTATTTTCATCACTTGTAAACTACACCTGCCAACCAAAATACTGGTAAGTTTCCTTAGTGACTTCTGCCTTGAACGCAGTCACGTACAGCTCAAAGGGTCTGTGCAGAGGCCGTCAGAAACTGATTTAAACAGATTGCAGGACTCTACAACACACAGTCATAAAAGCTGTTTACACTCCAACATCTAAACTTTCAAATAAGCAAGTGAGAATTTATTAATGCTTGTTGTGTTTTAAATATACTGAATCTAAGGCAATAGACAGTTCTGTACCATTTCCCACTGCCCCACCTTTCCATACATATTTAGCAAAGCTACAGAAAGGACATTAAAATATTGTTAAATATCATTTACTACCTGCTGTGTAAATCAGTCTCATGCATTCTGCTCTGCCAATTCATGCAACCTTTTTTAGAAAAAAGAAAACAACCCTGCCTTTTATCAGAAGCAACAGAAATTAAGGGGTAAATTGCAGAATAAACCAGAGCA